ATATTTATATACTCCCTATCATAATTCTTCTTATCAAAGTTTACATCCTAGATGAGTTTTTAAAATAAATACTCTATTCATTTGACACAAAAATTTTGTTTATGTGAGGTCTAATCATTTAAAAGTTTTATAGAGAGTACCCATTGATCTTTAAATAATAATCCCTTTTTAGCATGTTTAAAAATTATTTTATGGTTACAATTAAAATGTTCAGCAGCTTTTCTAGCCGAGCTAAAAGTATTGTATACTTTTATCTGCAGAATAAACATAGATGGCAGTTTCCTTGGCAATACTCAATGCTAATTTAGTACTTTCAGATAATTGTTTACCCATTGAGGATTTTTTTTTCCGATTGAGCTAAACTCATTAATTCTTTAGAATGTTCACTATGTGTCTTACCAAACATCCCACTTCCTTCTGTTTTTTTATGTGCTAAGCTAATTTTAGCTCAAGTTTCTATACTTAATACACGACCTGCTGGAGAACCTGCCTCAGTTAAAATATTATTAATAAGGCGCCGCCAGCCCCCGTAAGAGGGGCATTGTAAAACAAAGTTTTAATTTATTTATTAATTAAAACAGCCTTTGGCTCGTTAGAGACACAGGCGTGCCGCAGGGAAGTATAAAATAAACTGGGTCCTAAGGGCAAGAGTTCTAATTTCTAGGAAATGATTCTATTAGATTCTTCAGCCGACAATATCCGCACGGTTGGCAGTAGCCGTGGACAAGTGTAGTATAATAATTATTAGCCCTAGAATAACTAATAATTGAAAGGTGTACGGAAAGATGATGTTTTGCTTAGATGAAAGTAAAGAGTATACTTATATGTTTTAATCTTTATCATACCCTAAGGGGTTTCTCTCGACTTTACTTTTATAATAAAGGCAATTCTTCCTATAAACTATACTATGTAGTTTTAGTAGCAATACTATTACGTGCTTGATATACTGCAGGATAACCTGAGGTCGTAAGATGTTATTTTAAATTACGATTCTATGTATTTCTATAGTCTAACAACTAATAGATAAAAAGGGGTATTCTATATAGTGTAACATAATATAATATAATTATTACTATGGGTTTCAGCCATTAGAAGGGCTCTCTATAGGTTCTATAGGATTTCTATACTATATACTATATAGAATAGGGTGTTAGGAGGCTAGTATTCAGAATATCCATTATTCAGAATATCCATTATATGTTTAAGTTCTCCTGTTCTTTTTGAATTTGAGATCGATAACCTATTGTGTCTTCTTAAACATATTATGGAATTATTGCGTTAGATCCCTCTTTATTTTTATTTAGTAATATAAAAGCAGGCAAAAAACTTAATATTGCTTCTTAGGGGGTGTTAATTAGTAAAGTACTAATACCTAAATGTAATGAGTCCAATACTACGTTAGGATAAACACCAAGAATAAAGCTAACTATGATAAGAGGTAATAAAACGAAGAATTCTCTTCTAGTGATATCTGGCATTGTGCTCATATATCTTGAAGCAGACCCAAAAGCTACTCTATTGAACAACCAGATAGAATAACCTGCAGATAAGAACATACCAGTTGCTCCTAAAATTGTCATTACTGGGTTTTGTTGGAAAGCTCCGGCGAAGGACATAAATTCACCAATGAAATTCCCTGAGAACGGAGTACCGATATTTGCTAAAGTAGCGAAGAAGAAAATAAGAGATAGAACAGGAAGAGAAGATGCGATCCCTCTGTAGTATTTAATAATTCTTGTATGAGATCTACTATATAAGATATCTCCAACAATAATAAATAATAAAGGTGAGATTACCCCATGAGATAAACCTAAGATAACAGCACCTTCTATACCTTGTAAGTTATTAGAGAAAAGACCTAATACCACAACTCCCATATGGGCGATAGAAGAGTATGCGATAATAGCTTTAACATCTATTAATCTTAAACAAGTTAAAGAAGCATATATAATACTAATAACGGCTAATGTGTAAATTAACGGTGTAAAATATAAAGTAGCATCTGGTAAGAATGGTATCATAACTCTTAGGGCTAAATATGTTGCTAATTTAAGAATTACTCCGGCTAATAAAACAGACCCTCCTATAGGTGCTGCTACATGGGCGAATCCTAACCAAATGTGAGAAGGAATTAATGGAGTTTTAACAATAAAAGCGATTAAAAATCCTACAAAAAGTAATTTTTGAACATCTGTACCAAAAATTTATAGTAGATAAGATTTGGAAATCTGTAGTTCCTGTTAAAATTAAAATTGTTATTATAGATAATAACATAAATAAAGATCCGAATAATGTATATAAGAATAATAAAAATCCTGCTTTTTCTTTAGTTAATAAATCACCAAGTTAATTATTATAATAAATAATGGGATTAATATACTTTCAAAGAATATATAGAATAATAATAAATCTAAAACTATAAAAGTTGCAATTAATAAACTTTCTAAAATTAAGAAATTTAAAAATAAATGTTTAATATTATTTTTATGATCCCAGCTTGTTAATATAATAATAGGGAAAAGAAATGTAGTTAATAATACAAAAAATAATGAAATACCATCTATTCCTACATTAAAATGACAGAACGATATTTCAGCCCATTCTTGTACAAATTGGTATTCATGAGTATTATTATCAAATTTCCCCCATATTACTATTGAGATTAGAAAATTTATAATTGTAGTTCCTAAGGTAATTCTTTTAATCAAAGACTCATTTTTATTTACAAAAAGTAAACTTAAAGCACCTATTAAAGGTATAAAAAATAATGCTGTAAGCATATTTATTTTTATGTTTAACGCCCTTGAGGCGATATTAACTTCTAATCTTCACCCAACCACCGGCTGGGTAAATTTTTTATATAAGACTTAGCTCAATACAGTAGAATTGAGCGATATTAGTATGAATATCTTAAATGAAAGATATTGGATATTAATATTATTATTATATTATAAAAGTTTTGCCCATTAATAATTGATAACTATGAGGAGGACTCTTAGGGGGGGGGAAGCTGTGCCTAAGCCTGCTCGGGCCTCGGATTATTAATATAATAATAATGTGGATTAGTGTAATGGTTAACACATAAGACTCATGATCTTGTATTGATAGTTCAATTCTATCATCCGCGCTTCTATATTTATAACAATAAATCTTATAATAAAGTAGTGTTATAATTAGATGTATTCTTAAAAGTAATATCTTACCCGCCCTTACTTTCGTATCCTAGCCGCAAGGCGACGGACGAGCCTTGCGTAACCCTGATCTTTCTTAGAGAAGGGTCTAGCAATGCGAGCCTTTGGTACTTGAAATTCCTTGACGATACTTCCTATCTCGATCTCCCTTACCTTCCTTGGATTAACTGGGTCTCATCAGTTGCCTTCGGTTCGCTCATCAATACGATAACCCGAAGGTAATCTTCTTGATTTCGTCTCATCTCTTCGCCCGAGAGTTTTTTATAAAAGAATATAAAAAACAAACAGGCTAGAAACAGCGGTTAAGTTTATTAGCTGTATAATTAGATGTATTCATAAAAGTAATCTAAATGAGTAGGTTATATTCTATAAATTGATTAACACCCGTCCTCAATAAAAAATATGAGCAAAAATGTTTATTTATAAAACCCCCACCGGAGGGTGGAGTAAGTAATGTTTTGTCCCCTTCCGGGCGTTAAAGATAAGAGTAATTTTAAAGATTCTGCCCTTGGGCTGAATCACCCTGCGGGAGATTCTTTAATATTTTTCTGAATAGAAAATAGATAGACTATAGTTTTTAAGAAAACACTTATACTTAAAACTTTTTTAAACCTCTTTAACAGTGGGGGGAGTTTGTTATATTACTCTTTGTAATTAACTGGATTGGGTTAAGAAATTAAGTAAAAACAATAAGAATATTGTAGCACTTATTAAATTGAAATACCCTAAGATAGAGAACCCATATACATAAAACTTGTATGTTTTTTCTAATATTAAAATAATTGTCTCAATAACTTTATATATTGAAGGATAATCTTTTAAATATAATAAAATTCTAGAAGAATTTCTTATTATAATTGTTCGTATTAGAATAAAATTGAAACATTGAATACCAAAAATTAACATTAAGATACTAACTGATAATAAAGCCAAATCAGGATTATCTGATAATGGAGCTATATTATAAAAAGGGTTAAAAATAACTTCACCTACTTCTAATGGACAATCTACTGTAGCAGATTGTATAGCATTATTAGTTGTTGTAGTATTTTGATTAACATCAACAGCTGGTTGTCCTATTGTTACATTGAAATAAGGACCTCTAGGACCTAGTCTTTGACCAATAATGTGTATACCTAACCCAAATAAACCTCCTGTTATAATTAGTGAAAGGCCTAATGTGCCTTTTGCAAGGGCACTACCTGCGTATACCGTATTGAGATATGGTAGCATTCTAGCTCCAGCGTAAGCACCATAAAGGGTTGCGCCAGAAAGACCTAGACTTCCAACTAACTTACCTAACTGTCTAGGAGAAGTTTGTACTGTAATAGGTGTATCCAAGATAGGGTTAAGTACTTCTGGATTATTTTCAACTTGATCTGCACAATAAGCTATATTACAGTTATAGAATAAAACTAACACACTAATAAAAATAATGAACAAATAATAAAATAATTTTGAGCTTGCTAACATTTACTTGATATAATGACCTGTCAATTAAGACATGTCTTGTATTAAACTATCTTTTAATCAATTCTTGTTATTTATACTTTCCCGTTTATAAATCTTATAGACCGCTTATTTTTAATTAGACAAAAAGTCTAATTTACACCCCCTACAATCAGCCCTATATCCTATTAATTGATTAACACCCGCTCTCAATAAAAATACGAGCAAAAATGTTTATTTATAAAATCTCGGGGAGGTGGAGTAAACAAAGTAAATCTAAACACTTTTCAAGTTATTATAAATATTTATCAAGACGGCTTAAAATATTACTAAACGTATATAAAATAGACGACTATTTATAACACAATAGCTTAATGTAAAGCTCTCTGCTCATAACGGAGGATGGAAGTTCAATTCTTCCTTGTTTTAATAAAATAATAACCCTTATATTAGGACTAAAACATATTATTTTTTACCATATAATATACAGAATTTGTATATTATTAATTTGTTTATTTTTAAAAGTTAAACAAGATTTAGCTTGAAGGTTATTATTGCTTTGCTTATAATAGCTTAAAGTATTTTGTATCGAGCTCTCATTTAACTAGTATGATTTACCCATTTTCTGGCTTATCATTTCTTATTATCGATACTAAGAAGAAGGAGATGTAACTTTATATGATGTAATCTACTCTGAGATGTTAAAGACGGCTGGCACCCTTACCTTTCTCTTGGATTCTTTGCTAACCTTAATTTAATACAATCATATTACCTGTAACCAGTCGGAGATTAAACATAAAAACAAAATGACTTACTTATTTTTCAAACTTAAATACACTGTAGCTTTAAATCCCACAATTAAAGCAACTTTTAATTCATTTATGGGACTATCCCTTCTATCAACAATCTTATTATTTTTATTTACCTTATTTTTTATTGATTATAACACACAAATATTAGGAGAATTATTTCAAGTAACAAGAATCAATAAATCTTTTGAAATACTCTTATCTTTTGTACCTATAATATATCCTAATGTAGCTTCTAACAAATCACGAATTTTATCAGAAAATAAAGGCAAAGCTGCAATTTATCAGTGGAAACATAAAGAATCGGGTAAAATTTATATAGGAAGTGCTTTTGATTTAACTAAACGATTTTCACTTTATTACTCTAAAAATTATTTAGAGAAAAATAAAAGTTATATAAACAGAGCTATTCTTTTGCATGGCTATTCTTTATTTAGCTTGACTATTTTGGAGTACGTTGGTATTAGTGATCTTTCAAAAGAAGAAGCAAGAAAATTAATATTAGAACGGGAACAAGATTATATTAATATTCTTAAACCTGAGTATAATATTAACCCTACAGCTGGATCTAGCTTAGGGGCTCTACATACTGAGCAAGCTAAAGCTTTAATTAGTGAAGCCCTTAAAGGTGAAAATCATCCAATGTATGGTAAAACTCATACACCTGACACTCTAGCTAAATTCTCTGGTGAGAATAATCATTTTTTTGGTAAAACTCATACTGTTGAGGCTAAAGTAAAAATGAGTGAAGCCAAAACTGGTAGTAATCATCCTTTATTTGGAATAAGAAGTGAAGATCACCCAATGTACGGTAAAAAACATTCTGCTGAGGCTTTAATAAGAATGAGTGAAGCTCGTAAAGGAATGATTGTAACAGAAGAACATAAGCAAAAATCTCGAAATCTATGTCAAAAAAAGTTTTTTGTTTATTCTAGTTCTACTCCTACAATTCTTCAGCATGAATTTGGATCTTATACAGAAGCAGCGAAACATTTTAATTGTAATATTATGACGATATCCAAATATATCAAGAGTGAAAAATTATATCTAAATCAGTGGATATTAATTTCATCAAAGAAATAAATGACTATCATAATAATAGGGATTGTATATTATATGCTCCTAAGTTATTAAGTTAGATAAAAAATCTAACCACCCCCCCTTGATTCAGGGTTGAATAAGTTAAGTGAATTAAGAACCCTCGTCCTATTAAAAAATTGTTTGTGTAAATAGTATTAATAAAATTGTTTGTGTAAATGGTATTAATATAAAATTATAACCCTTCCGGGCGTTATTGATAAGATAATTTTCAAGATTATAAATATTTAGATACTAGATGGCTTAAAATATTACTATTCTTACACCTCTTAGCTAACAAAAAAGTTAACTATCCCTATCTGTTAAGATAATTGGGTAGCCTATCAAAGCAATAGTCTATTGCTAATTTTATTTCCTTTACATTCAAAGAATGTAAGGAAAAGAATAATTCATAGCTCTGTTTCCTACTTATATGCTTTCAGTAGTTATCATTTATGCACATAGCTTTCCAGCCATGCATTCATTTATTTTAATGTTATACAACTGGTAAACCATAGGTGCACTTAATCTGGTCCTTGCGTACTAAGATAAACTGCTATTCTTATTCTAACTCCTACAGTAGATATAATCAATACTGATTCACATCGTATTAAACCCAACTCACGTACCTTTTTACTCGACGAACAGTCGAACCCTTGGGAGCAACTACAACCCCCAGGAAAAGATGAGTCGACATCGAGGTGCCGGACCACTGAGTCAATATGGACTCTCGTCAGTGACTAGCCTGTTATCCCTAGAGTAACTTTTATCAGTTGTGCGATAGCCATTCCATAATGAAACTATCGGATCACTATGACCCGCTTACGCGTCTGTTCGACTTTTTTGTCTTACAGTTAAGCTTGTTTATACCATTACGCTTAATTAGGTTATCATAAACCCATTGGTTTCCATCCAATTTAAACAAACCTTTGTACTTCTCAGATACTATTTATGAGAATCCCGCCCCAGGTAAACTGCCAATTAATCATTTTCCCTTTGGGGTACCTTTATAAACAATATTATTTATAAAATTTTCCAGGTCCTTGACAAAGCCAAGGAAGAATATTCAATAAACTTTATATATTTCAACCTATAAGATCCTGAAAGTCAAAGACCTTTAGGACCTTTACCTAAAAGGTACAAGGAAGGGGCAATATAAAGATTGAATACTATCTTAGTTAATTTTATATTAAGTTAAGGGCTCTCAGTTTTGTTTAATCAACTACCTTATTGCTGTATCTTAATAAAAAATTAACAATAATTAACTACAGTAAAGCTTCATAGGGTCTTCGTGTCTAGCTGTAGGTAAACCGCATCATCACGGTTAGTTCAATTTCACTGAGTCTCTCCTGGAGACAGTTGAAGTATCGTTAAACCATTCATGCACGTCGGCAATTATCCGACTAGGTATTTCGCTACCTTAGGACTGTCATAGTTACAGCCGCTATTGACCAATGTTTGATTTTTGATCGTTAAACCAAAAAATTTATACGTTTGGCATTGAGCAGGTATCACCACTTTATACATCCATTATTATGTTGGCAAAGTGCTGTGTTTTTAGTAAAACAGTCGTACCTCACATTTATGTGCCAGCCATCAAATTACACCACTGCGTGGTATAATTCAATAGCCACTCTTTCTTTCGAAATTACAGAGTTATTTTGCCTAGTTCCTTCAGGAGAGTTCTCTCAACACCTTAGTATATTCTACCTGCCTACCAGTGTCGGTTTAGAGTACGGTATATTTTATATTATTTTTTTCCTGTATAAATAAAAAGAATAAATCAATCCCTAGAGCTTTAAACTCCTTTGGACTCTTTAGAGCCTTAATTAATTTACTCTCTATTAAATATATTTATAATAAATTCCTCATCAATCAAAGCTTTCGCTTATATTCTTAGAGACCGTTTAACCCATAGCAATTTAATTTTTTCTATGGAACCCTTAGGCATTCGGTGAAGCATATTTTAATGCTTTTGCGTTACTCATGTCAGCATAATCTCTACTATTATGTCAAGGTAATTAAAAAATTACCCTTCATTTCCATTTATAGTATGTTCTGCTACCCAGCAAATTTTTATAACGGTTCACTAGGAACCACCTACACTGATTTATCAGAGAGGTATACTATTAATATTATTTTGCAGATAGAACATCGGTAAAATACTTTAGACCCGTTAAATTATTGGTGCATCATATATTAAAAAAGACCATTGAGCATTTACGCTTTCTCTAAATGATTGCTGCCTCCAAGCCTACATAATGGATGTTTTCTATACGACACTACCTTATATTCACTTAGTATTTATTTAGGGACCTTAGTTACTATTCTGGGCTCTTCCCCATTCGACTATCGGCCTTAGCACCCATAGTCTGACCCTATATCTTGAATTTATAACCATTGGTTTGATTGCCTTCAGTGGATAGAATCATAATAATCCCCCCCATTAAATATAAATTGCATTTTTAATGCAATCCCATTTGTCAAAGACAAATGGATTGCTAAAACAGAGCACTACTTGCTATAATTCAAATATAGATCCTACCTAAATAGGTGTCGCAGTAATACCAGCTATCTCCAGGTAAGATTAGCCTTTCACTCCCTACCAACAGCTCATCCAGTACTATTGCAACAGTAGTTGGTTCGGTCTCTACACTGGCCATGGTAAGATCACCTGGTTTCGGGTCTTATATATAGTACTTTCCTCATAAATTACAAAAGGCCGGCCCTAAACCAAGCCAAATAATATATGATCGCTTTTCACTAAGTATTATTAAAATAATTCTATCCCAATTTAAAAATGGGTAGGACTTTTAATTTTTTACTTGCACTACCTATAAACTCCCCCCCGTGCTGACCCCCATGATGCAAAAGGTACGTCGTCATACATTTTATTTGTTTCATACTCCGACTGCTTATAAGATTATTGATTTCAGGATCTATTTCACCAGTTATCTACTTGCTTTTCAACGTTCCCTCACGGTACTATTCACTATCGCTCAATGATTCATATTAGCCTTAGAGGAATGGTTCCCCTAATTCAGACAGATTATCTTCCATTCTTACTTTTTTTATTTAAATTATGCTTCATCCCTTTCGGAAATGTGTATCCCTCGGTTAAAGGGTGCATAATTATCTGTTATAATTATTCAAGGTTTCACTTGAATGAACAGATTATAATTTAATTATTACGGGACTATCACCCTCTTTGGTATATTTCACTTCCAGAAATTTCATTAATCCCAAAAGCATCTATACGATACCAGGAAGAAATTAATTATTCAATAATTAAATTATATATATTAGCCAGCTTTATGCCGGCAGGCTTATCTGTTTTCGCTCACCACTACTAGCAGAATCTCAGTTGATTTTTTTTCCTCTTATTACTTAGATGTTTCAGTTCATAAGGTTGTTTATTTATTTAAAAATTTTGGTTTCCCATAGGATAATCCTAGATTTAGCTAAGCTTGAAATTATTAGCTAGGATATTTGGTATTTATACCCTCCTTTATAATCATTGGCTAGTCATCCTCAATTAATCTC